AGACAGGCAAGCCCAACACTCAAAGATCACATCAAACGGGAGTGCGCCAGACGAGGGCAGAAAAATGACGCATCCGGCAAATTTAAAGGAACCGAGTTCAAGTAGTCCGTAGGCCGATGTAGTAGATGCAAAGAAGCTGAATGAAGCAGTAGTTTGATCACGGTAAGAATTGGAATTCGCCGAATTTTCATCCTCGCCCGTGTTTTGTGAGTTTCATTCGCTTACTTACTCCATAAAATCATCTCAATTATAACGACTCACAATCACTCATATGTATCTGCAGTAGCCCAAGTCAGACAATTTTTCGACTACTGATTTTTCTGAACGTCCCTGATAGGCGAGGAAGAGCAGATGAATGAAAATAGGCGCCCCCTGCCTTCGTTAACCGTATCTTCCTCGATCACATTATTTGCCCCGAAATAATCGCCACTATATTTTCCTACCCTCATTGATGCTGTTTCATGCCCCACATGTAAACATGTACAGATAGAATCACCATTCGTCATTTTCGTGCTTCACGGCTGGGCTGTTCCCCAACTGCGGGCCTTGGTGGTCACGAGCGGCCTACGGACTGCTTGAACGCGGTCCGTTTAAATGCGCCGGATTTGTTTCGCCTGAGAAAGGATACTTCGCTATTCTTATTCTTCGCTAATTCACTACTTCGGCTCTCTGGATTTTTTTGTACTGTTTTCTTGAGTACATTATCTGAATACTTTGCCTTGCTAAACGGTTGCCGTTTTTTTTCTTGCTTATGCTGCTAGTTTTTATTTGTTGCCTCATTTATCTAACCAATATTCTGGAGATTATCTATAGCTGCCCTTGCTGTGAAAATTCCGTAATTTTTCAGTGCAATTTGTATTTTCGTACGTGTAATTTTAGGAAGTTCCTGTTGTCCCGATGGACGATGGGGATCACAGTAAACCGGCACTTCCCGTAGTGCCTGACAAATGTGGGCCTCCTACAATCAGTTTGAACTATTTGCTTGATTTTGCTATACAACAAATCTATCACGAGATCACTGTGCTCTCTGAACTGTGAGTTTTCAACTATCAAATACATTTTAGAGGAAAACAGTTATTCTTCAATTTTTCGCTTCAGCAGTAGTCTAATTGGTTTTCTATGACTTTGTAGAGCGCTGTTTCCAGTTTGTTTCTTTCTTTTCTATTCACTCTTTTCCATTTTCTAAGCTTTTCACCTATGACACAAAATCATAGTGGGAGGTAGAACTTTCAGGCAGAAAAGGGCTACTCTTAGTTAGATTTTCTCAGTCTATGCCGAAGTAGACCCTAGTTTATCCTGTTTGAACGGTTGAGGCTTTTTGTAACCTCTCAAAAAAGTAATTCTAGAGGAAACTGTCGGTGATATGTCGAGATACATCCGAAGTATAGAATTCACTTCTTCTCAGCTTATTGATTGATTTTATTACTCTCTACCTTGACCTTACGATGATTCCTTTGGTTGAATATTTACCTCAACCACTACCTATTCAAATCCTGGGCTGATTTCTGTGGAATGGTGAATCGGAAAGAAACTACCTGATACTGTAGCATAGACTCACCACTACCAACGACTTTGTCATAAAATGTTTAACTACAAGGTTCGACGGCGCTGTTGCTTTGAGCATGATCCTTTCTACATTTGCATAAGTTCTATGTAACGTAGATCATTACGGGTTTATCGCGCAATAATTATTAACGCGAAATACAGTTCTCAGTCGATATTCAAGTGGTTGCGTTCAGGTCTGAGTCAAATGCGGTAAGGTTATGATATCTTTCCTTTCGATGGCAGAGATGAAAGTACATGTTTAGGTTACCGAAGAAGTTGGATGGGGACAGAAAGATCAGTCTCGTGCAGTTCGCACACTCAACGCGGATGCTATTTGTAAAGCTACTAGCTGTTGTGAAATGGGTGAAATCGTCGAAAAAATTCGAGTCATGTGCAGTTAGTTGATCACACTCTTGAAAACCTGAGTCTTCGATGTTTTCTGCATCCTTTGATGACCTCACATGGTATTGGGTAGGGTTCTATCTAGGCAATATGCTATTTACTGGATCAACAATCGCAGTATTTCGTGGAGACGGCGGATCGTTTAGTGACAATTTCGCGAGAGGAGCTTGTTATGGCACGTCTACCTGCTTTCCAAGTGGCTGCTGCTGTCGATGTGCTCACACAGGTCTGTCAGATTACATTTTTAGTTTATTTAGAATTTTCCTATACACCACCATATTTTCAAAAGCTGTCAAATTGTAATATCTGCTTTTTAGGGCACCTATCAACACCTACCTACTATTATCAAGGATCGTTTTGTACTGAAACCTAAAATCTCTCCCATTGATGAAGCCAATGTATTATTACGGCTCAATCAGGTTTTTTCTACACTCCACTGATTCTCCGTTTTTCGAAGCTTATAAGAGGCTTACTGTATAGGTTCTGCAATATCGCATATCAAAAGCAGCATCCACATTGTCGCCTCGAATAAAGGGTATCGTCATTAAAAACGGCATGGTAGGTTAATTCGGTTTATTTCATCAGCTTTTGAAATTGTCTCACTTCATGGACATCCTTCGGTTTCTTTTCATTTTCCCCTCAATCCTAGCCTATTACGTTTCTCTTTTTTTTTGTTTAGTTTCGAAGTAATTATCGGTCCTTCTGGAGGGCAGTCGTCTTCCATTTAACATGTGTGTGTGCAATTTTCAACGTGGGGTTTGAATTGGTGTTCCAGTTGATTCTCACTGTTCCTGGAGAGTTTGAAGTGAATCTTACCGTACTGGGTGAACGGGAACAGACTCCATGGACACTACTAAATATAAAAATGCTGGTGGAAGACTATGAAATTGGTTATGGAGCGCAATTGGTGCATCCACTTCAGCTACACATGCTTCACAATGTGTTGCAGTCCAGGATGGATGTCGCGAAAAATGTATGTTGTCCGCAACAATTTTCCTGAAGTTTTGTAATCAAAATAATTTATTTCAGCCGATTAATGAAGTATATGACTTTTTGCATACCTTTGCGCAATCTTTGCAATTAGACGTCTTATTTTGTCAGGCATCGCAGTTAGCTGCAGGGCGTTTGAGGTATTTATCGTTTTCTTAAATGATTCCTCGAAGGCTCTAGTTGCCTCCTAACTATAAACGCCTATTACTTCAGGAACAAGATAGTCATAGAGAAGTACGACCCGAAAGAGCGCATCCTGTCAATCGGCTATTGGGTACAACGTATCGCTAAGAGACTAATAGGAAATGTTCGGTAAGCTGCTGAATTTCCAACTTTCTGCTGGGTCACATAATAGTACACCAGTCAGTTAGCCCGGCCTCCAACATACTGATTCGCCTATCAAACCTCACAGCAAGCGAATGCATTGATCCGTAGGGTTATCGTCATGCCCAGAGCTACTACAAGTGTGCTCGTCCAACGCCGGGCTAACTGATGGTGTACTATTATGTGACTTCCTCCTCTTTGTGGGATTCTTCCTTTTTCGGCGAAGTTGCAGTAATCAGCTAACTCCACTCCTTTGAAGCAAGCAATACTTTTCTGTACACGAAACTTGACACAGGGCTAACAGGGCACTGCAAATGTATTCAGTGCGTGTCTGCTTATGCCTTTGATGGGAAGCCTCGATCTTTTGCTCTTTTTCTTAAAAATAATTGCCTATCAAAGATTTAGCTGTTAAGCAACCAAAGCCTTGGGCGACATTCACAACTGTTTCTAATGATGTTAAAACCTTGATTACATACCTTTGCCTATAGACTTTCACTTCTATACGAAGTTATCATTAGTTGAGAATCCCAGATTTTGGCGGTCGTTTAAGTTTTGTCGCAAATAATATCAACCAATGAAGATCCTTCACTGAGTCACAAACCTTGCTGGGTAGCAGTCGTAATTTAGAAGCGAGAACTCAACAAAATTCTCATCTATTTATCGTAGTGCCTCTGACCAGTCACTTTCGTCACTCTGTTCTACCATCCCATATTAAGGAATAAATTACACCGAACAGTCAATGATACATCGTAAATACAGGAGGCGCTAAAATTTTGATCGCTAAGTAGCTCTTGCTCTTTTAGACCCCATCTCTCTTAATAGTTATCAGTTCCTGTCATTGAGTAGCTAAGATCACATCCCACATTATTTAACAAAATGCCGAGGTTCCACTCCTAATACGAAAGGCTTTACACAATGAGCCTTCTTTGGCTTGTTATCAGTTCATGTCTGTCATGTCAGTCTGCTCAAAATGGGCTGGTGATCAGCAACCAGAATATGTTATGTCAGTCCCTCTTAGCAAACAACTATGGTCCCTTTTAATCCCCTACCACATACTAAAGTGCTAAGGCTCCACGTTAACCCGAATGAAGTAACGTACACTGCGGCTATTGCCTTCCTTAGCGAACTACATATAGGAGGTATTTTCAGTTTTTGTTTATTTTAGTTTGCTTGTATTTTTATCGGAATTTCGTACAGGTTTCACGAGTCTTATTTTTTGCTTGTCCCACTGAGCTCCTAAAGATGAGGTTTCCAATCTCCACGCGAACTCCGCTCTCCTTACAATTTTAGTTCTTTCGCATATTACTCTTATTTTCTGATGTGTTTTAGACTAGTACCTCAATATCGAGTAACCATATTTGGAGACGGGGGTGATGATACTCCGTTGAAAGTTCGTCATTACCCAATTGCACCGGATCTGGGTCAGCTTGACGACCGGACAGGGTACGAGACGGTGTTTTTTGCTTGCTTTCTATTCAATTTTTGGAAATTACTTTCGCTCTTTGCAGCACTTCGATACAACCATAAAGGATTAATCAGCTTAATTAATCTTTTACAGGCGTTTGTCAATTGATCGGCTCTTGTCCGAAACTTTGGTGGTCCGATGTAGAGAGCGATTACTGCGCATTCGTAAGCGCCTCAAAGCGGCAAAACCTCTCTCGATTGTCTTGTACGCGGGTGAGCCGCTACTTGGGACTCTGTATCAGACGTTCTTCCCAATTTCTTCTTCAGGAACAGCAACGCCATGTCTTTGGCTTCCACTGCTACGAGACAGCGTAGATACTCGCGAGGAGTGTGTAGTTATATCAGTTAATATGTTTAGTGGACGGGTACTGTGCAGTTTGGATGCGATAGGTAAGACGTTTTCGTGCCACCTTTTCATCTTGTTTGGCTGTTTCAACCACCTGAACAACACACTATGTAATCTGTTTACTACAGTTGTCTGCTCGGCCAACTCTGGTAAACCAATTTGGTCAACCATTTTCGAGAAGCTCCCTTCCCCACTGCACCCCAATGAAAAGATATAAACCAGCAGAGCCCCGCACGTGGTCTGCGTCGATACCTTCCCAGCTCTTCTGAAGCACCACTTCCAGAGCGTCGAATGAGCGCTAGGAGTGTCCTGTGATCTTACTCTACAAAAGCTCCCACACAGTGAAGTCCATTTGATTGAGGTCAGGCGAAGGGGAGGTCAGATGTCCTTGCCTCTGCACCTGGAGTAGTGCGCAGGAGTACCGCCTTCGTCGATTTTGAAGCATGCGAAGTGGCCCAATCTCGTGGAAGACGAACGATCTGTCACCGAAGTGCTCACTGACCCAGATTAACAGAGTATCTATTAAAAATACCTGTAGGTAAACCTCGGGAAGAGGGTCGATTTTCACATTTCCACCCATTTCATTGTCTCTAGAAATCGACCCTCTTCCCGAGCTTTACGTACAGGTCGATGAAGGCCAATATTGTTCTGAATTTTGATGTCACCCCGTTCCAAATAATCACACTTTCGGAAGATAGCCGGCTGTGCACGTTTTGAGATCAACGTCGGGGAGCCTTTGGCAACAAATATCTCTGATTTTGATGGTTTGAAAGGGTTTTCCCGTGAAAATTTTCTCATCAGTCCAGATCACGTCAGAGATGCGGCGCGCCCTGAGCTCTCAAATAAGCTTTTTTTGCATTTCATTGTCCGACTTTGTTTGGACTTCTCCGGAATAAACTGTCCTCAACAGAGCCGATAACCGTTCAGCTTTAGGCAAAATTTCAAACATTTCACTATCTTCTAATTGGTATGAAAGCTGTTGTTGAGCTGAGGTGAGTAACAATCCGATTGGTGTAGACTCCACTATTGCGGGTGATTTTCTTCTAATAATGCCACGAATCTTTGGTAGGTTCACTGCTTTGGGTCGTCCATTTTTTGGCATTTCAGAGGTATGCCCTCGAGTACTGGCAGCACGGAGACAATTCGAAGTGTTGAATAGGGAACGCCACATTCACATTCAAGCAACGATTAATCAAATGAATATATGCTACTTACACAGCTCTCGTGCTTTTGAAAATTATCGGAAGAATTTTGACAGTACCCATTAGCAGGGTGCCAGCAAATGCCAAACGAATTGTCTATACTTTTCAGCCACCATGCATATACCCAAAGTCTTTTACGACCTGTTTCCCCTAAAATTGTATATACCTACTAGGAAAAACGAAAAATTCTCATGACTAATTTAGTTGCCTTTTTTTAGTGTCTCTATGCCAACTGTCTTGTTACAGCCCAACTGTCTTATGGTTAGCTACGTCTACAGTCAAGCGTGCTGACATGCAACGTTTCAGATTTCCTTCCCGGTGGAGCTAGCGAGCTGAAAGAATTGGAAACAGCATTGTACGATGGTCAATCTATCGATTCCCTACGCAAGCGAATTGACCGTCTGAAGTGGGTGAAATCATTGCTAATACAACCAGTAATCCAACCAGTTTTTCTATGTGCTTTAATTTAACAACTTTTAGGGTCCTTTTAATGATTGAACGTTATCGAAGATCTGTGTCCACCCTCCAAGTGCGTATCATTAATGAAAACCAAATGGCACCGTTCTTCAAGAGGGTTGCAGTAAGTTTGTCTACTTAATTCGAGCTCAATTCAGTTCTTCTTAGCATAGTCGTTTCTTTGAAATTTATCATACTTTTCTGACATCCTTTTCGGCATATAAATAATTTGGGACTTCGCTTGAAATGCTGGAATTATGAGTGACACGAATTAATAACGCGGTAATAAAAGTTCGATAGAGGTAAATTTTTGCTTGAGGTTTCCTCACTCTCGAGTGATCGCATCTGCCTGCAATTCATCAAAGAAGAGCACTTCTTTTTGGTACGTTAATTTTTATGTGTTGTCCTCGCATCTCATTTTTAAGCATTTCAGGTGATCACATTTATTTCCAATGAGAATCTTACGGTCAAAATCAATCTCTACTTACTGTGTACCCTCGATGATAAAGTGCAGATGATGGAGTTGAATAAGGTGAAATCATTTCAATTCCCTGTTCTTTTCATTTGGTATCAGGTATTTTCATTTTGAAGGAGAAACGTCTCATCTCCGCTCCTATTCATGGAGTTGTGGACATTGAAGCCAAGACGTTTGGACAGTCTGAGATGGACGACGTTTGGACATTGAAAGAAAACGTTCGTTTCAGCTGCCCTTGTAATGCTTTCCAGTATTATTTAGTCGTATTCAAATGTTAGATTATTTTCGTGGATTTGATTCAATTTCTACTACTGCATTTGATTTTAGTTCATATTTATTATAGAGCGTGGGTTTAAAAGTGAGTTTCATGAATTCGAAAAAAGTGGGAGAAGTTGAGGAAATTTCTTTCTACGGATTTCTGCAGCCTTATGTTTCAGCATAGTCGCATAGAGCCATCGATGGTTCGGCAACTGACAACAGCCGTCGCAGCGGTTGATGATCGAATTTCATTCATGCGGGTTTGCGAGGAGTTGGATAAAAAACGAATTGGATATCGTAGCGTTGAGGAAGAACCTCACGTTGGAGGCCTTATATTGCATATAACTGAGTGAGTGTTCCGATATGAGTCTCATTATTTATCAGACGAATTTGCTTATTAAATCTTCAAGCTAAGGATTATAGCGTTTCTGCTGTTGTGGATGTTCGTTGTGCAGCATTCCTTCGTAATATGGCTCGGTGCTGTTTGCGGCTGGACAGCAGAGCACGAGTCATTTGGCCCCTTGAGTGTTGTATGATAAACATTCCTCTCGTACGGGATCTCAGTCCTTACAAGAAAGGTCGCAAGGTAATCTTTATTACAGTAGCAAACCGTTTGGCGATTTCACGAAAAAAAAGTCCCAATGTACATTGCATTTCAGACTGGCGTTTGGGTGCATGAACAAACCGGAATATCTGTAGGTGGTCCAGTGGATACCATAGCTACATCGATTATCGAGCGGCTTACTAGATATTCTCACATTTACGATACTGTTAACAGATTTGCTAGAGCATACGATGCTCACTATAATAAGCTTTGTAACGTAAGTTGATTTTTTTCCATTCTTTCAGTAATATATATGCCTATATTTAATTATTATAATTTTTTTCGTTTTTATTAATTTAAAATGTTTTGTTATCGTTCCATTATCTGCAGCTAGTGCTATGACTTCTCTATTTGTCACTGTTGTGAGTCAATATAGTTGTGGGTACGAAAATATTGTCGGGTTTGAGCATTTCAGCCCTAGCTACATCGAGCTATAGACAATATCGAATGTTCACCTTTTTTCTTAAACTACATGTTATCATATTTTATCATATTTCCTATCATTGACTTTTGGAAGTATTTCAAGGTGCAAGCATACACTTTCCATAAATTGGTGATTGCATATGGTCGTGAACGCGATCAGCAGTTGATTGTGTCGTTTCGACCACGAAACGCTTCAAATGACCGTTTTAATCTGAACTTTGGACAGGTGAGAGATGCGCTCTGTATTTTCCACTGTCTTCGAAGCATGGCTTCTCATTCTCCTTTTCATTCTCACGAAGGTTCAAAATAAGTTGTTACATGTGGTAATTCAGACGCTTCCTATTTCTATCTACGATTCTTCTGAAGTCAATTTACAAGAAGCGACTCGTTGGAATGCGCACTGCATGATGGCGACCATTCTTAAAGAAAAGTGGGTTGTTCGAGAAACCGTGCGTGTATTATTTTCATTTTCTGGTTTCAAGTTCGGTTTCGAATGTTAGTATTAGCATTTAGTTGGGATTGGGAATAAGTGCATTCATAGTGGGCGCTCTTTTACCCAGATTGGTGAGATTTTACGCATATATCCACGCAACAACGCACCAATCTGCGTAAAACCGCTAGTCTGCGTACAAAGCTCCCATTATGAATGCACAAGGTAGTTAAACTGCCAGAGACTGAATCATTCACATCTCGCAAACATTCTAGGCTGCATTATTGTAATGTTTAGAAATCGACTTAGCTGTCGCAGAAATGGTACATTCTAGGTTCAACGCTAAATCCGACCTCACGGAATTGGTGCACTATTTGGTCACAACAAGTGAACCTTTGCAGTCATTGTCGTTCTTCAGCCGCATACGGTTCCAGTCTTGCAAAGTTTTAGCTCAGCTGTTCAACAACGATATACCATACCCGCTAATGTTGAAGGTCAGTGGCGGTTCCTATCTGATTAATCTGTGCGATGATGGCTATTCTTCCAGCTGTTGTCCTTTTTCTCACGCCCATATGCCCACGCTACTCTAAAATCATCCACACAGTGCAGTTTTTGTAGTGCGTGTATAGTGTACTTTTGTAGTTTTTTGACGACGTTAGAATTGGCATAATCTTTCCCACTTCAAAGCTTTCCCCTTTGATAATCTCTCGATGGATCCGGTCAGGTGAATTCAGTTGACAAGTGTGAAGCTATCAAGAACTTAAAGGGCGCAACACTTCAACGTTTACGGTTCATAAAGGCGTAGGGACGAGCACAAAAAGGATATGTTATCATTCATGTGGCTTGACTGGGCGCATTCATACTAAGTGCGTGTACCCGTTCCAAGAAGCGTTTTTTCGCACTACGGTGCGATTTTCCCACCCTGATTAATAGTCGCATTCGATGGCTCATGCCGCGGGAAGACTGTTTGAGATAGTCATGCTTCTTTTTCTCTTCACTCGTTGCAGATTTTGTGGTGATTCCTATTTTTTAACACGTCCCGTGCCGATGCCCGGTCTTCTGTGTGGGTAATGTTCGCGGGAGCTTGATATTTTGCCGCTTATTTTTTTATCCCTCTTATCTCAGCATTTTGTTGTGGGAAATTTTCTACTCTATTTTGTCTATTTTTTCTATTTTGTTTTTGTTTTTATTTTTCCTGCTTTATATTCTAGCTAGTACTGACATGTTATGATTGCGAAATAAGGAGTGAGAATAGTATAATAAAATAGTAATAGAATCTAATAGGAGAATGAAAAAAAATGCAAGCATAACACATCACTACTAGCTAGAATATGGAGCAAGAAAAAATAGAAATAGAAAAATAGGGTAGAAAAAGCAGAAAAAATTAAATAGAAAATTTCCCAGAGCAAGATGAGGGATAAAAAATAAGTGGCAAAATATCAAGTTCACGCGAACATTACCCACGTAGAAGACCGGTCAACGGTACGAGACCTTTTACTTATTTATTTATTTATTTTACTTGTAATTTATTTATTTCGTTTTATATTTCAAATAAATAAAATAAAATCGACACGGGGCGTGATAAAAAAAAAGAATCACAAGAAAATCTGCAACGAGCGAAGAGAAAAAGAAGCATAACTATCTCGAGGCTGCTTACATAGTCCACGATTTGGCGAGCGACCGACCGCTCGGCGGCGCCCATGGCCAGCGCCGCCTCCTCGGCCGGTCGCGCGACTGGTCGCTCGCCAAATCGTGGACCATGAAAGCAGCCAAACAGTCTACCCGCAACATGAGTCATCGTTTGCTAATATTGATCGGAGTGGGGGAGCGGGTACCCGCTCCGAGGTGCGTTTTTCGCACCGCAGAACGGGTGCCCGCACCTAGTATGGATGCGCCCAATGGGACCTACTCTATTATTGTTACCAATTATGGTTTTGATTCGATTGTTTTTAGTTCCACTTGATGCCGATAAATGAAGTCACTTTGCGATTGACTTACGGGCATGTACATCTCGAATTCATAATGTTGTCCGGAGACACTGTGGCCGTTCGTGATAGCTCTCGAAACAAGCCTCGCTGTGCTGGTCTTCATCAATTCTTTCATCTGTTATCGAAGTAAGACTTTTGTCCGTAGAGTGTAACTTGATAGCATATCGTTGCTTTCTGAGTTTTCATTTTGCGATGGTGGCAGAAGACGCCATTGTTACATCTTTCATGTCGTAATTACACATAATCAGATTACTCTTGCTTCAGTGGCACGTCAAAATCTTGCAAAGAAAGCGAGCCACGATTCCATCATTCAAACTCACCCATCCAACCGGCTTCCTTACCACCTAATGTATGTAGGACCTCTCATATAATTTTTCAGATTGTCCTATCCTTTCCATTCATCATCAGTAATTTTTCAGATGGTGGATGCCTCCCCAGCTGGACTGTCCTTATCAGCATCATTGTCTGTACCACCGAATTCGGATGCGGCGGCAGTGTCGCCGGCTATGTTGGGTGGAACGGCGGAGTTGGAAACCTCGTCGGCGCCGGTGGTCATTGACCATGAAACCCTGCGCCGTGCTTTTGTATATGTCAAAATCCGTAAGTTTGCTACTAAAGCTCTGAATTTTTGACAAATGTTTTTCGTTTTTCCAGCAGGCACTAACCTCTCTCGTGCACCACTTGATGACTATTTGTCAGCGCTTTGTTTCGTCAGAAAGTTGACGTTAGCATTCGAAGCTCATATGCGCAGTCAATCCGTCGGTCGCTTTCCGTTTAGCGAAATGAGATGCGGCCTAGATTTTGTGGGTTTTAGTGACTTTCCATCACACTGATGTTTGCTTACTGATTGATCTTCTGTTAAAGGTTTCAAGGGCTTCCCATTAAGGTCCGTGTCTCCGTACCTGTAGTGGTCCCACCGCAGCGAAATGATGCGTCAGCACCCCAAACGCCACAGCAGATTGGTGGTCTTGTTTCTTACAACTTCCACTTGGATCCGAGCACGTTGACGTTGAAGTTGAACCTCGAATACAGTAAGTGTGACGATGAGAGATTATTTGAAGGTGCACTTTCTCAAAGGTATAACACCAGGTAAAAACGCTCCTCCACCTAACGACATTGCAACATTGGAGCGTTATTTCGAGCTGATAGTCTGCCGCCTGAACAACGAGCTCGCCGTTTTCTCATTCATTAATCTTTGCCGCATGGTGGCAAACGGTGCAGTGTCAGGAATTGCTCATGTTATGAATGCTCAAATGGTCAGTGTTAGTTTCTTTTTTCTTCATTTTGCTCCTGTTGAATTAATTGAAGTGCTTTTTTACACACTAAAGATAACTAACTTTTTGTGCCCTTTGCATCTTTTTCTTACGAAACAACAGAACAACCTGTTTTCTTTGATGTGCTTAATTGATGATTTGTTCACTAAGGATCCTTCACCGTCAACTTATTGGAACGTGTCTCTTCAACTGATTTGTCTAGCGAGGGATCAGTCAACCGCTAGCGCACGTCGCTACCAGTTTGGAACAGTGTTTGATGCGAACAACGTCAATGCTTTGATACTGGTTGGTACTTCAAAAGCAAACTGTTTCATTCACATTCACTGCTTATAATTGCTTTATAGATTTGTTTCCGTCCGAGTCGTACAACGTCACCTCGAAGTAATGAGAAACATTTGCTTCGGATTATTTACAATATGCAAACGTTAGTTGGTGCTCTAAAATTATGACTGAAACTCTCGAGACTCTACTGAAAGCTTAAAGGAACTGTAGTACAGGATATCTCTTTTTACTTCCTTCATGAATCTGCAGACTTTGCCCACCTACATTATTTGCCCACTTGCATGCCACTTGCTGTTCTTCCGCTATTTTTTGCTTGTGAATTTCTTCCCCAGCAGCGCGCAATTCGGAACTCAGTGATCTGCGACTTGTGTCATAACTAATTGTACCAGATCTTCCCCTCTTATATACATAAAATTATATGTATTTTTATTCACTTATATATATACTAGCCGGATGGCTCGGCTACGCCGTGCTCTCCTCCTTCTCTTGTAAAGTTAGCCCGGCGCCCAACCCTTCCGACGATTTTGGGCGTTCTGACGCAGGAGAAAAGGGATATAATATACTTTTCGGCCAAACTCGCCACACACACTGGGCACACTTTGTGAGCGCTTCACTCATCATGAGCGGAGACCCGTCATTTCATGTGTGATCAGAAAACTTCGCTCTTTTCCTCATTTTTTTTCGAATCGAGCGGCTCAAGTTCACCAAGATTACGCACATTTTACGCGCACCCTTCCCCTCCCGATATTTACCCCACGCCTCCCGCGAGCGTGATCCAGTGCATTCACTTTCTACCATCCGCCATCAGTGCCGTTATCCTGCCGCCTTTACCACTATCAAATTTTAACACCTCGATTTCAAATTAACAAGTTTCGCGGACGCCCCGCTTCCTGTTCACGGAGTCTAGTCCTGCCATCAGTGCTCCCCTCCTGTCGCCTGTACTCCTTCCAAATTTGTACGATCTAGACCCAAATTGAAAAATATCATGCACGGCCGTACTTTCTTTGGGCGGAGTCTCGTCCGTCGTCGTCCGTGCCTCCATTCAGTATTCCCCGTCCTGCCGCCTCTACTCCTACTGAATTTGAACACTGTAGATCCATACTCACATTTTTGCTCACGCTCCCCTCCCCCTCTCCTTCCTGTGGGCCGGGTTTAGGCATACCATCTATCATCACCGTTTCCGTCGTGCCTGCTTTATTCTTAGAAAATTTCAATACTCTAGATCCACGGGGCAGGCAAGAGGTACGAATTCCCGGCCTAACAAACACACACAGCAACAAACACACCTGGCATGTTATATATAGTAGGATATACATATGAATATATATATATATATATATATATATATATATATATATATATATATATATATATATATATATGTACATATATGTATGTATATTATAGATTTCCTTCTAGGAATATTGTAAAGCAGCATGGTAGTGAAGACGAGGCGTTATCGTCGATTTTTTCGACCTGCTCTCAGGAGGCGGCTCGGACAGGAGAGTGTCCGCTATGGCCAGCGATCCGTCAGTGTCTCGACAAGTATGTATGGCGGGCTCATCTTTTTTCAACCTTCTCTGTTTTTTTTTTTTATCATATGTTCTTTGAATATTTTCTCATCACCAACTTTTGTTTCATCCATTTTAGAGTGTCGTCAGCCAATGTGGCCGGAATGCCGGCATCAGTCGGCTACATGCCTGGTTCTGTTGGTGGTCCAGTGTCAGTGGGCCCTGTTGGTTCGGTCGGAATGGGGCACAATCCGGGTTCAATAGCCAATCCAGGATCCAACACGTAACTGGAGGGTGTTCAATGAATCAAAACAGTATGAAGCCTTGAAACAACTTAGTAATGTGCCAAATCGGTGTGCATACCCCCTTAACGTATTATTGCTTTTGTTCTTCATTCGTTTTCTTTGTTCTTTGTTCCCTTATCTGAATTTATTAGCTGACTTTACCGTTCTTAGTTTATTCTATTGCGATGCTGCTGTTTTTTGTGATCGGCTTGTGCTTGTATGTTCTGGGTATGTCTTCACCTAGCCTCTTCCTTCTTTTGAGATTGGTGGTTCAGGTAGTCCATGTTTTCTTAGAAGTATTGAGCAAGGCGGCCTTAAACGCGTGCCATCACGACGCAACATTTTGGGACCCGCCTTTTACCAATTTCAATCCGCCCATGGAGGTACAACAGAATTACGCGCTAGAAGGCAGTCCAATGTGAACAGCTATATTCTACCTCAAGAAAGGTGTTTTCTTCCTCAAAAAACCCCATTTTTTTGGGGAAGCCACTCCATTCTGAAGCAAGCGCTGCCCTGCCTTCTTGGCCGTTTGTCTTATTCTCGGTGATTCTTGTGTAAAGCTATGCAGGAGATATTTTACTTTGCATTATTTTGCAATATTTCTTTACCTCAAACCTCTTCATACCGTAATTGTTGTACAACTGGTTTCCGAAGATCTCCATTATTGTTAGTTTTTGTAAAAATTCGCGACTAACGATGGAAGAGAAAGCGCCATCACCCCACTATTCGCATATAAACGGCAAACTTCCCCTTTTCTGCTCTTTTTTTTTTGTTTCTCGTTTGAATTGTACATAGTCATCCGCCCATGCTACTCGAAATCTCGAAAAGCTGGGAGCGGAAATAGTTGTATATTTAGATTTGACTACAGTCTATAAAACGTTTAAGGGATATGTAGAAATGTTGTAATGGATGAAATACGAGAGCCGAGAATGAGTGTCGTGAGAGGTTGGAGCGCACGTTGTTGTTTGTTCAATTCGGCACGTTTGTTTTTATCCCTAGTCGGTAGGTGCACTGAAAGCAGTGCGCTCGAGCAGCGGCAATCCACCGCCTCACGCCCTCGTCGAGTACCCGTGGGAGAACCAATCCCCTCGAGTGAGAACGCTTCCGTGTATGCCCAGTGCGATTTCTTCGAGATCAGCTTCGTTTACCGGGCAGCGCTTTACGTTTTACTTACGTACCCTCATTCAGTTGTGGAATTAGAACGATATGCAGCATAAATCCTAATCTCTACCGTAATCTCTCTGCGGTTTCTGTCACTACTAATGATAAGAACTATAATCCCTCTGCGGTTCCTGTCGCTACTAATCATAAGAACTAGACTATTGAAGCGTAGTTGTTCAATAGGGGTAGCGTGAGAATTAAAGGGTTAGAATAGAAATCGAATTCTCACTACATAGTTGCTCTTTTGTAGCGTTGTTGGGATATGTGCCGTCTACTCCAATTCTGTACGTATTTTCGCGATGTTCCCTATCTTCAGCTTTACGTGACTAGCTACATTTGACGGCCATAGTCAATGATACAGAAGAGAGGGAATCATGACGTTTTATCCACCTTAGCGCAATGAACAGAGAAGCTGCTGTGTTAACTGCTTGCTCGAGTAGCATCCAGAACAATGAGAACCATTTGATCTCTGAGGGTTTATCAAATATTGCCATGAAAATATTTATTTTTGCCGAGAGGATATATGTCTCACAGTCCACTTTTATATTATAACTAGAATTTCCTTCGAAAGCAGAATGTGTGGCTCATTCTTGGCTCTGCAGAAATAACTCAATGCTTGCCTGAGAAAACAAGTCATAACAAAGTTCCTGTTCCGGTGATGAAGCAACTGTAAGCTGAGGAAAGTAAAAGTGTATCGGGCTACCGTATCGGGTATGGTACAGTAGCCATGCTGAAGTTCGTTCCTAGTTGTGAATGAACTATAGGGTCGCTATTACAACGACCAATCAGTTTTGAGAACGAGTGCCCACGATAGACTATAGGTCTGTCACTGACCATACGGTGCTTGTAATAGCTGCAATGCTGCCAATTTAATTACTTGTTTGTTTATTCGGTACCCGGTATGCATTTGTGCTGTGCCGCCACAAACGCCTCAACCTTCCTTCCCACCATCTCCCATCCTCCTCCATCTCTCATTGCTTACTGTAATCGTAAGCATCTAATCCAGTTCTGGCGTCTGTTGATATCCTGCTCAGAAAATGGAATCACGCGCGCTGATTCTTTTGGTTTCCTCCACATGAACATCTTTCTCTTCTCTGAGATCACCATCAAAGTTTCGCAGAGTATAAACGCAGTCTGAATGAGGGACTTCAGCTTGAGTTTTCTACTCCGTTTATTGATCGTTCAGGGATTTTACTCACATTTCTTCTGTTCTATCCATTGTCAGCCTTCGAACTGTTGGGAAGGTATTGAGCTACATGTTTTATTCAGAGGGCTGAAGTTGAGACCCTTCGAATGTCATGCTTCTAATCACGACGGTAACAGTTTGCTCAATAATTGCAACGTTGTGTAGCTCGAATCCATGGTACCATCCTTCGACACAGTCAGATAATACTGATGAGGAAGCTGGAATGCGTCAAAAAGCGTCTTTCTGTGTTCAAGGTCAGTAGTGCAAGTTTCATTTGCTTGGAAGTGATAGCAGCTAGCAGCCCATCACTTCGCCCTTTTGCACTTAGTTGTCGATCCGTGAAGTTCGACTGCCAGTCCCCGGATTTTAGGTATGTGGAGGAGGGAAGGGGTGGATAATTTCTATAGGATACCAAATTTCAAAGATATAAATACATAATGTGAAAGTTTGGAGATTAACCAAAAACTGACCCCTTTCGAAAATTTTGATTTGCTTCTTTAGACTGCATGACGACGATGGATTGTGATGCAGGTTTAAGCTGTTTCCATGCGACCAGCGAGAACAAAGGATGCTGTCTAATGGGTACGTGTTGTATTGTTGAAGATCTGCAGTGCATCAGGGTTTTCAGCGACCTGATTTTTCTGATTTTTTTTCTCGGAGCGCGTTTACCTCTCTCTAATTTCTGTCTCGGGAATCGAAACTTTCTGAAATTGGCGTACGGAGAAAACGTTGTGAGCGAAAAATTCTAGGGGCTCTCCACAGCTGTGTCCTTCTCAACAGTCTCAACCAACAATTAATCGTTGAGAAGGGCTCAGCTCTTGAAGAGCTTTTAGAAATATTTTGCCCTTCTCATCAATAAACAACTTAACGGACATGATTCGGACTGCCAATGTTTGCGGGGCATTCCTTTGCGATCCGAAGAAGGCGGCCATACAGATTCCTTATGCCATTCGCAGTATGCCACCTGAGATTCTGAGTTCAATGTAAATCAAAAAAAGTTAACTTTCACTGCTTCCAGCTGGATTTTACTTGGAATTCATCTCTATGTCTTCTGCATTCAGCATTGAAACCGAACGAAACCGGCTGTGTGTTGGACGATCAATGCCGTCGAGCCTGTGAAAGCACGGTATGTGAAAAAACCCATCAAGGCTCGAGATGTATGTGCGAAAAAGGACGTCATTTCCTGTTCAACAAATGCTGTCAGTTTTTTCTTCTCTTGATCAATGCCGACACAGTACCATATCGGCTCTTCATTAAGCACTGTTATAATCGCTTGTTTCAGGGACGAAATGCCCTGAATTCGCATACCCAGAACCTGTTGTTGATGAGCTTGGATTCAGCAGGTATAGGTAAACGATTGTCCAATAAGTAGTCTCTAGTCATAGACGTGAAATTGACAATGACTCGTGCTTTCTTCTATCACACCCTAGGAGAGACTCTTTTTCGCTCTAACTAACTGGTATCGAAATTCACAAGAGGGATTTAATTTACACAGTAAGCCGACCACACTTTCAAGCGCCTCCAAACACGCGTCACATGTACGACGCAACAGAAAGGTACGCCGTGTGCCGCACGGGGTGGGTGCTGGTGTGGTAGTGGGGGGTTACTGTATCGCACGTTCACGGGACGCTAAAATCCCCCTAATTCAAGGTTCTTCTCATAGTTTTGTGTACGAAAGCAATTCCGTTGGATGGTCATCGAAGACTTTTCTATTTTCATGGAGAGAGGCTTTGCAGATACAACTGATTTATTACAGTAGTATTCTTCAAGTATGGCACTCATCCACAGAGGGTTATCTAAAAATAGTTACACTTCCAACTAGAAATCCATTCCAAATCAGTGACATTGCTATTGTCCAATTTGGCTTGCTAAAAACTTGTCTAATAACTCAATGAATCATCATTACTAGCCAGCCAAGCCATAAGCACAAAAACCCTCGACTGTCTGAATGAAATCACATGATGGCGTTGCAGAGGCAACCTACCAGGCCACGTAGTTTTCCACTCCGAGTAGCTTCAGTGGCGGCCCTACTTTTATTGATGGAAAGATGAAGCCTTCAATCGTTCAGGGTCGTAGAGGCGCATTGAATGTGTATGTGGCCTATACAATGACTTGTAGTTTACAGCCGATGTGTAAGCCAGTGTTTCTCTCCTCCAGATGAGTCTGGTATCAATTAACTGACCCCGTGATAGAGAAGGCTTAGTTGGCCCAGGCGGATATCGGTCCGGGATTCGAACCTGTGTAACGCGTGCGGCGTGGTAGCGCGGCACTCACCACAACACCACCGCCGTCCTACTTTTATTGATACTTCACCATTACTTCAGTGTAGCATTTGGGACAAATTTTATTTGTTGTTTATTTTTTGAAGACCGATCATTTTTAAGCTGCACGTTGAGAACGGACCTGAGGACGGCCAGCAGATTGATGCGCCGTTTCAGGCGGGAGTTGAAGAGCAACTTCTGTTGAGATTGATCAGACTAGAAGTTGGCGGATTCGGGATACCAGCATGTTTTTCTGTTATTTGTTTTGTTCTATTTTTTGTCTCGCTCAAGTTTTCCAAAGCATGATGTTTAATTTCTAATAAAGAGAGCAGTATTCATTCGAAATGATAGTCACTCGACAGTAACGAACAAACGGATGGCATAAAACAGTGAATAAAACGGTAAGGCACACAATTACCAATAAATAATTACACCTATATTACATCTCTGAGTGCATGCACCAGAACGGCTGCAAAAATTCAATTAAACAATCGAACGTATGTGCTGGCGAACAAGTTGAACACTTGAGATTTGGGTGTTAGTCTGAATGCTCCCTGAATCACCGAGGTTCAAGTTCATTCGTTGATTGAAGGGATTATTCTGTATCCCGTGAACCTCCACTTTTAGGTTTGTTGCTACGGAAAGCAACTAATCGATACGTATTCAGACACTGTTCGCCTAAGTAGCGTTGACTGAGGGCCTGAGTAGACGATTTGCCTCACTGACAGTTCCAAAGCGTTTATCAGCATTTCTAATCTTCTGCTGTAATTCTGAAGAGGTTGCTGAAATAATCTGAGGAGTCTCTAGTACCCGCACCTGGTAGAGTAGGTAGGTTATGCTTTACTAGTGTACATCAATCTTGGAATGAACAGTCGCCGAGGGTTTACCCATTTTTCAATGCGCCCACCTTTTGAGAGGCCTCTAGCCGGGCTTGAGGTATCGGTCCTTCAAAACAGAATCATAAGCCCTCTGCTTGGTCTAAATGCCAGTGTTTTCCATAGTGAACTCATCGTGAACTCCTTATGGTTGCTGTGGTAAGATGAGCATCCAACGCGAACAGCACAGGCCAGACAAATCGAAATTCACCTACATATCGAAGTTTATGTCCACGAAACATTCAGATAAAAACCCCAGTAGACGATGTGAAACAGCAGAAAAAATGACGGGAAGGCGACACGTGAGACGAGATCTACCTAAATGATGATAATTGCATTTGTAAGACTAGAATATGAAATCTTTTTTATCATTCCGACATAATCAACATTATAGCTGCGGACGATAATTGTCGCGGGACCCCTCAGACAAACCTGCTCTTTGGGAATTACTCCTTCCTGAGAAAGAACAAACCACAGGGCGGAGAAGTGGCTTACCACTTGTCAATTAAAGAGTGGATTATGTGAGGTGATCCTTATAGTAGAACATTTTTGGCGGAAAAACTCATAGGAAAACAGAAGATACTAAAAGAATAGATACAGTAAACTGATAAGAACACATCTCATACACAGCGGACAAACATATGGGCTTAAATTAAAATACAGTAGTTGCTCGATCTTGGTATCAGGGTAATGCATACGTTCTTGGAAGGGTTCAAGATGCGGCACTGCTAGCTTCTCTCATGTATATCATTGGAAGTAGAGCCCCACAGCACAGGTGGAAGCTCACTCGAATCACAGTTCACGAAGAAATCTATGTGCGTTTCCGATATTTGGGCACCTCATGGTGCGGTATTCGATTGATTTCGATGCGGTATGGCTCTGTGCGAATTTCTTCCAACAATTGACCCTGGTTACTCGAGGAGCACGGAAATGCTCTGTTCTGCCTACTTTTTTGGTTTTCGTGTTTCCTTTCGGAATCCGATAAGATTAGTACATTTTCTTCTGACATATTTCTGTTTCGCTTTTTTGTATGTTTCTTCAATTCATTTCTTTTTCTCGTGATATCTTAAAAGAAGCAATATTTGAGTTTGTTAGCACGTGCACGAAGTGTATCAACGAGAAAACTGAGTATCTCTTAATTCCACGTAAGTCTGTCTTCTTTGCTTATTCGTGAGTTGAAAGCTCGAGAAATTAGTAGTCAGCGACAGTCGAAGCTCGTGCAAAGGAAATGGAATTTTACTCAACGCACCGTTCCTTATTTTTAGAGCGGCTTAATCACAGAAAGGCTACAGACTATCATTTTTAATTAATTGAAATCAGTGAATCGGTGAATGGGGCAATCTTAGTAGAAACTCTAGGTTGTGCCTACCTGAGAGGGCCGGACCCGTGTCCAGGCTGGTGGCTTTGGCTTGAATGGAATCGGTGGCATCGGCACCATTGTCAACAACGGAATACGCTGATCCATTTGAGCTTCGACTTCGATCTGAAGTAACAAATGCAGCTCCAGGTGAGAAGAAGAAGCGGTAATTTTGTAAGGCCTCTAATAGCTGCACCACGAATAATTTCCAGCCTTTTCTCCCCGCACCCCCAACATTTTTCTGCCGAGGCAATATAAATACTGGTCAGAGCTTGCTCCGGCACAGCAGTCTCATGGGAATCGAAATGGACTCCACGAGGCGTCGAATGATTTATGATCGTATATAGAGGTTTATAGACCCTGACGAAGTATTCAGAACACCAAAAATCTCGTAATGTCAGATGACCAGCGGAAATCGCAGGGGTATTCCGGCACGTGTGTAATATGAGGCTCTGATGATGCAATGACGTATGGGGAGATCTGGAGAACTTACCGAAATTTCCGAAACATCAAAATTTGACAAAGCCGATGACCACGGGAAATGATGGAGGAAATAGTTTTTGGAAAAGAAAAGGACTCGACGAGGTCCTAATACCTCTAGATAGGCGTCATGAGAAAAGAATCGATCTGAGTTCTTACAATTAGTATTAGGTCGCATTCTCGTCATTCCGAGAGGGCATCAGAGGCACGCAAAGGTGTGCATTGCGGATAATCGGCAAATTTGTGCTTCTCAGAATGGAACCTCCTCTATGTGAACGCATCACTTCATCATCATGGAATGGTGTCAGGATGTCTTATGCCGCGTCTGGGTGACTTACCTTAACATTATTTCTTCGACTCCCCTTCGACTTCTTCCTAGTGCTATCCCGTCTTAGCACCCCGTCACCGGTCTCATAGTACTGGACAGGTGAAGCATTCAGCAAAGAACGATTCCTTTTCATCAAATACCCGATTGCTGCGTACTCCAGTAGTGAAGCGAACACTAAACAAATTGTCATTTGTTAATATTCAATACTATTTTCTTTTAGAAACTCCGGTCGCGCGTTCTATTGAGGTTCACTTGTTGGTGAAGCTGACCACGATAGTTAACCATATGAGATCATACAAGGATCTATCAAAATTGTTTTTTAATAGTTGCCCTTGTTCAGGTCGTGTAGCGTTTTCATCCACGCCATAATCAATTGAATTGAATCGAATTCAATTGATCAAATTAAATTCCGATTATGTCCTCATAGTTGTTAGAAAAACATTCCAACATGAAAATCAAAACCTACCTATGAAGAAACACATTCCTAAGAAGATGTCAAGGCTTTTCACGTAGCTCACCTGAAATAGTTGATTTATTCATCCACAATTAATTGTTTTGTTTTTATCATCATTTTATATTTTATTATTTTTTCACATTTTATTTGTTGTTGTTTGAGTACTCGAGTACAATTTAAAGAAAGTAGGCAGGAGGCTAAGCCACCATCCTGGTGTTTATCACTCAACGTTGCTTCATTTAGTCACTTATTTATTTACATGCTTACTAGCGAACTCAGAAAAACTTACCTTCGGCAAACTGGCATTCGTGCTCGTCATCAAGGTAGTCATCGTAAGCACAGTAGTTACACCTTAACAACGAGAATCAGGTTTTCAGAGTTATTCTCAGAAGTTTTCCCTGAGCTCTGTCAAGGGTAGCTGGACGAAAGACGTGTACTTCACATAATCCTATCAGAAATCCAATGTACTCCGCTCTCTAATGGCTTAGCCCACTGTTTGCTGCCGACGAAATTTCGAGAAAAATCCGATAAAATGTGAAGTCTCAAAGCCTTTCAGCGGTACATGCATAGGAAACAGATTTATTTGAAAAAACGGAAGAGAGTTTTAGAAGAAAAGATTACATCCTTTTCTTTACGTAGATATTAGTTGAGAATTACTAACTCTTTACGTAAAATTGTAGCTTACTGGGGGTCAGCTAGGTTTGTCACAAATGATATCAACCAAAGAGGATACTTCATTAAGTAACAAACCTTGCTGGGTTGCGGTCGTGATCTAACAGCAAGGAATGAACAAAGTCCTAGTCTGCTTATCGTATTGCCCTAATGGGTCCCTATCACTGCACATACCGCTCACTTTTGTCACCCTACTCTAGCATACCGTCTTATCGAATGAAACATAATGAACGTTCACAGCTACGTCGTCAATACCGATGGGTTGAAAATTTGATCAGTAGGTGGCTCTTGCTCTCTTACCAGGGAGGGGTAGTCTACTTATCTTGGAACTTTGCATTCAGACCCAGATAAATCGATAGAGTTTTGAATGCTGTTTACGAAAATGGAAAT